AAGATATTTTAATATTTTTTACATGTGCGTACATAGTCCTGGATGCCAATCAAATATTTTTTAATAAATAAGGCGAATTGTTAATATTACTAAAACTGTTGCACTATTTAACTATAATATTAAAAAAAAAAAATCAAGTAAGAAAAAAACAACTTACATTATACAAGCATCGTTGTGAATTTATCGAAGCGAAAATGTAGACCTACTCGTATTTTTAAGTAAATACAAATAAAAAATAATATCGTCGTTTGATATAATTGCCTCCTACACAGTCAAGGCTATCACATCTATATTCGTAATTAATTAGTAGTGAAGCAATTACTTTTGTTTGGGTACACTAATTAAAATTTTATGTCATAGTTGCAGGTGTGTGTCGTGCACTCTTTATATCAAAATAAACAAATAACCAGAATTTCTTTAACACGAGATATAATCTGGTTCAAAAATATTTTCCATGTCTATTCACAAACAATTTTATACAAAAATTTTTCTTGTTTTTATATTTGCTACTGGTCAACTGCTTCTCTCGACTCGGGCTGCTCTTATATTCAGATATATTTGTTCCAAATTTACATATTTTCGATGAATCCATGAGACCACACTGTCATGAATTATTACATATTAGTTCACCACATTATTACAACTCAAAAATTATCATAGTTATTTACAGGTGACATTTTTCTTTATCCGCAGCCCATAAGATAGAGAAAGTGTTCATAATAATTAAACCATTAAGTTAGCAAATAAAACAATTGTATTTCCTTGTCCTTTTTTAAAGAATGTGGGTGGTGTTTTTTTTTTTTAAATAAAACAAGAAATTATATCAACATTATTTAATAAATCGAACATAATATAAAAACATAAAATATTGAAGTTACAAAAATATATTATTACTATTGAAATACTTCTACGAAATGAATAATGATATTCAGTCTCATATTTTTTTTTTATTAATATGAACCATTCTTTTTTTCGATATCACTGGTCATTAATATTAAATATTTACTTTGTAATTAATATTTTAATATACATAATTGATAATACATATTTATAAAATTATGTTTAGAACATTAAAGACAAAAATTTCTACACACATTTTATTCTAAACATTTTTTCATATCTCTATTGCCTACGAAAATAAATAAAAAAAAAATTCCATTTTTTTTTTAAATTTCTTCTTACGGTCCCTTTTAGATTAATCATGTATAAGACAGAAATTATAGAGAATGCTATCGTAAACAACTCTTATTGAAATAATTTTTTTCTTAAATAAAAAATAACAGAGATAAAAAATAACAGAAATATAAAAAAATGTCGCCTATAGGTCACTGCAGGGTGGTTTAAAGCTTAAGTGTACAGTTTTGTATACTCTTTATCCGTTTTTAATTTATTATTAATACAGACATACACACAGGGGGAGCACAAAACGTAAAAATCCGAGGTCGAAAAAAAATTAAATTCCTATACGATCCTTACTGGTTACAGGAAAGAAACAAACGTAATAATTTAAATTTGAACATATTGTCATGCGAGCCATTTACGAACAGTCTGGCCCTGCTCAATATATGGGGATTACCCACACCAAACCCCCTTTTTTAGGAGCCTCAAGAGTAACCTTTAAATACCCCTCAAAAGTGACTTCGGAATGAAATTAACGAGATAATTTTATACAGGTAATTCATGAGACCGAAGGCTGAACGTTTCGGTACTAACAATTTTTCAAATGCATATGTTTTTCTTAAATTTTCAATAATGATTACCTATGTAAGAATATTTTGTCATCGGTAACTATTTCGTTCCTACATTGCGTTAACAAAAAAAAAACGGCTAAGTGCGAGTCGGAATCGAGCATGAAGGGTTCCGCACCATCGTACAAAATTTAACTATGTAGGTACTTTTTAAATACTTTATTAAGATCGAGCAATAAAACAGGTCTGGTATGGGGAGCACCCTGTAATTTTTAATTTATTTTTATTATTTGTTGTTATAGAGGCAACAGAAATACACATTGTGTGAAAATGTCAACTGTCTACCTATTGCAGCTTATGAGTTACAGCCTGCTGACAGACAGACGGACAAACAATGGAGGCGTAGTCCCGTTGATTACCCTTGGGATACGAAACGATAAAAAAGGAGGAAATAAACATAAAATACTCATTTGAAATAATAAAGGAAAAATGTTCCAAAGCAAAAACTAAACAAAATATTTAACTTTTTTTAAATTTGACCTTTCAAAGATACATCGAAAATCAGAATGGCTCAAATGTGCGTCGCTTTTTTGCCCGCTTTCTGTAGTTGGGTACAGACAGAGGATGGGATGTACAAGTTACATATAATTATGGCTACTTTTCGACATAATCACCATAAAGATTAAGGCATTTGTCGTATCTATGGACAAGATTTCCAATACTTTAAATAAGCCTTGATTTTGTCTTGAAGCTAATCGTTAGTTTGGAACATGAAATTTCCCACCAGTGGAATGCTACACCATCCTACCAACCTAATCAAAAATGGCACAGCTGTTGCGATGTTTAGCGGCAATACATTGCGCATTACGGAGTATTTGAAGAAAATTCATCGAAAATTACATATTTGAGAGTTGCACACTGATTTTGTAATTATCCCCATACATACATAATGTGACGTGGAGCCGTCTCTGTACTTTTTTTACTCTTTGACCGCGGTATGAAGTCTAGCACTGGCCATATAGACAAACGCACCGCTTCGAGAAGCCCTCGGAGTGATCCCTTTGCGGCGTATGAGTCATAAAGAGGCAGTTATCGATCGTTCTGGAAAGCCGAGAATGTTCTGATACAGAGCTGGCTTTATATAAATAGCGCTAGTTTGTCGACGGACAGGAAGAGTCAATTTAAGTGTTGGATAGAAAAGATAAATTGTAATAAATAAATTAAAATTGTGAGTTATAATAGTGCCTAAGTATTATATAAATTAATTATTACGTTATAAATAAATTGTAAATAAAGATAAACTATAAATAAATTAAACAAACGTTACAATACATACTTGCGTTGGTTATTTTTTTGTTATTATTTGGACATTTCTGTTATTTCTACATTTCTTTAATGTTTAGTGGTGATTCAGGTGTCAAAAACAATGCGTGGTATGGTTTTATTTTGAAAAAGTTTATCAACTCCTATTTTAGGTAAGTAGTCGTGATTTATATAAGCTAGTGATACTGCGATTTTGTAATTATCCCACGGATCAGACACCAGGTTACAAGAAACAAACCAAATACAAGTGATTTTTTTGTTTTCTGAGATGTTTATGAGTTTAAGTTGATGAAATACCTAGCATAATTTCACACATTCATTGATGTGTAACTCTCGCCTGGGGCTCTCGAAAAAGTTAATCTAGTCCTGTAAAATTCTAAATGCCGGCTTTGAATAGAGCAAGGAGAATTTCGAGAATAAAGGTTATGGTGCACCAGGTGTTAGAAAGGTCGTTTTCGACGTGAAATTCGGATTAAGCGCTCCAAAAAAGGCCACTACAATGATTTTCGGGTTGTTTTTGGCGATCTTGTGAGGAAAATTCTCGGTGATGACGTCTACGTCCAGGTTCGGACTCCAGGTGTCAGAGGGGTGTTCGCCGATGCCACATTTTAATTCAGCATCCCAAAAAAAACCCATAACGATTTTCGGTTCGTCTTTTTTCGATATGTGAGGAAAACTCACGGAGATGAGGTCCGCGTCCAGGTTCCGGTGCACCAGGTGTTCAGGGGGTCGTTTTCGATGTGAAATTTGGATTCAGCACCCAAAAAACGCCTCCACAATGATTTTTGAGTTGTTTTTGGCGATCTTGTCAGGAAATTTCTCGGGGATGACGTCCATGTCCAGGTTCCAGCACACCAGGTATACGGGGGGTGTTCGCCGATGCCATATTTGAATTCAGCGACCCAAAAAACCCCGGGCGCAGAGTTTCTCTCCTTCCCCACATGAATTTCGGTAGAGTCCTACGGAGATGACGTTCATCGGAGATCCTGAGCTCCAGGTCGGGTGTGTGTCAATTTGAATATCATAATCGTGATCAGCTACCTCGAAAACCCCGGAGAACCCGTTTTGGGCCAGTTCTGACTCTTATTTACAAAGTTCTTTAATAATCTAGAAGCAGTCTCAAAAAAATGCATTTTTTGAATGTATTTTTGGCTGCAGCAATGCAAATTTCGGTTTGTATAAGATAAAAAGTAGGGACATTTTTCCAAAAAAAATTTTGGAAGCAAATGCTAAAAACTGCATTCCGATCCGTCTTAGTCTAAAAAATACCGAACTTTTGGCCTTTTTAGTGCTTCATTGCCTCGACTATAATAATATACAATTAGTGACCAATAATCCAAAATTTCATAGTGTTCTTACAATACTACTATTTCATCTATTATACAATTTTTTTTTTGTATAAAAACTGTTTCTAACCTTAATTACTCATTCGCCAACGGAAAAATCTAATTGTTTATTTCACAAAGCTGCATTTAAGGTAGACTCTGGAAATATTAAAATAGATATAATTTCACTTTTTACATCAATATTTACAAACATAAGGAATTATTATTTTATTATTATTAAATTTGAAAAAATCAAAACTCCTTAGAAATAATTTCAAAATTGGAAATAAACCCTGACCTGTTTAATGTTCAACGATCGACGCAGACAGGTTCAAAAACAACTCAATGAGCATGCTCAGTATTGCCGCAACGAGCTGCTTGTTGGTGTCGAAAGTAAATTATGATGCGACTATTTTGAGTGCTGGTGCAATCCAACGGCTCCTTGAGCAATTTCAATTGGACCTTTTCAACCACCTGCTATAGAGTCATGGACAGGAGAGCAGAGCGTCCAAACTAATGAAGCGGCTTCAAGACAACGTCGACTTATTTAAATTCATTGGCGGCACTTTTTTATGAGGATGGTATGTAATTTTTAGTGATATAATCATATATACTCTATACCCAACTTATAAAACGCCCTATACAGTCTCATACACATTGTCATTTAATCATCATGTAAATAATTTTTGAAATAAGGTTCAAAAGAAAAACCATCATCAAACATCAATTTGCAAGTGAAAAGAAGATCATCATTTGCTGCCTCCATAGTTTTTCCATTGCCCATAACGGCACTAGCATCCCCATCTATCAGTAATACCACCAAGTACGGATTGCTTTGTAAAACTTTACGTTTGCATTGATGTCCACGTGCTCTCAATTGCGCGATTAACTCTTCCAATGTTAAGTCATTTGTAGTCTAAAAACAAAATAATTTTTATAATTTTGCGAAAATGGCAAAAATTTAAGGTTCTCGTAAACCGTAAGAGACACTAATTTGTCGAATTTCGATTTTGATTTTTTTTACTTTGGTGTTTTGATTATCAAAAATAAAAATGTTATTAAGTTTTTGTTTCAATTACAATATCGCCTAATTTAAACAACCGATTTTTTAGAAACTCAAACAACCATTTTTAGAAATTCAAACAATGTTTTGCTAGATTTAGTTGTTTCTCAGAATCCTGAGTTTGGAATTGGCTTATCTTGTACTATTAAGGTCCAAACTATTATAAATCATCTTAAAACTTTTCAGTATTATGATGTCTAGAGCATAGCCTATTTCCAAACATCTGGAAAGACGCCATTGTAATTCCATTACCGAAAAAATATAATCCTGCTGAGTTTACGGATCTTCGACCTATTAGTGTTTTGTGCACACTTTCTAAAGGGTTGGAAAAAATTATAGATAAACAAATTCGAAAGTTTACTAATCTAAATAACATTATCCCAGCAAATCAATTCGGATTTCGTCAAGGTTACAGTTGCTCCACCGCTCTGGCATAACTGATGATATTTATTAAGCCATAGATAATAAGAAGTTATGTGTATTAGATTTAATTGACTATAGTAAAGCTTTTGATAGGGTGTATCATCTTCTACTTGTATATCTCTTGCACCATATTGGTTTTTGTTCAAAAGCTTCCTCATTTAAAAAAAGTTATTTAAGCCATAGGTCCCACAGAGTATTAGTAGGTAATTTATTTTCCTCTAAAAAACTATTAGTTAATGGGGTTCCTCAAGGTTCCATTCTTGGTCCCCTTCTTTTCTCTCTGTATACGTCTCAAATTCATCTTTCCATTAAACATTTTACAGCTTTACATGAGCTTTAACACTGATAATATCCTAGAACCTTGCATGAATATGAATAATGATCTAGAAAAACTTGTAAAAATATCTGACAAATTTAATTTAACTATCAATTCAGCCAAATCTAAAGCATTAGTATTCGGCAGTAAATATCGTAAAAAATTCGTTAAGGATATTCACTTAAAAATAAATAATATTGAATTGAATTTCACTTCATGTGAAAAAATCTAGGTCTTTATCTTGACACTGAACTCAAATTTAAACAACATATTTTTCTCTTAATATAAAAATATTTTTGCTGTTTAAAAATGATTTATTCTCATCGAAAGATACTAACCTATAGCTCAAAAATTACTCTTTGCGACTCTTCAGTCTCATCAAGATTCAATCACTCCGATATTGTGTATGGCCCAGCCATAAATCAAAACGAATGCAGGCGTCTTCAGCTAGTTCAAAACTCGTGCGTATGAAATAGAATCTCACCTAGTTTAAAACAGATCGGCTGGCTTAATTTAAAACAAAGATACTGCGTTTTCTATCACAAATTAACTGTTACTAAAATTCCAACATATTATAAAAAAGTCCAATTTCGATATTAGGCACACTCACTAAACCTGATTTACTAAACCATCCCAACCAATATGCATACCAGCCAGGAAAGTCAACTGATCTAGCGCTGGATGATCTAAACAGGCTACTTTCAAAGTCAATAGATGACAAAGAAATTGCAATAGCCACTTTCTTAGATATCGAAGGAGCTTTCAACAATGCCTCAACCAGGTCAATAACCAAGGCTCTAGAAGAGAGAAACGTCCCAGTAACAACATGCCAATGGATCACTGCCTGTCTAGAGAACAGGATTATTTTATCCACTCTAGGAAAGGCAACCATACAGGCAAAAGTTACACGGGGCTGCCAAAAAGGAGGAATATTATCTCCAATGCTGTGGTCAGTTCTTGTGGACGACTTACTCAAAATATTGTCTAAAGAAGGCTACCAGTGCCTAGGATACACAGATGACCTAGCAATTATCGTCAGGGGGCGATTTGCAGGCACAGTCTCGGAGCGAACTCAAACAGCTCTAAACATAGTGAACAACTGGTGCAAAAAGAAACAATTGTCCATTAACGCACAAAAAACAACAGTTGTACCATTCACAAAAAACCGGGTACTTACAGATTTAAGACCACTAGTACTAAACAACACAGCTATCCCATTCGTCACAGAAGCCAAATACCTCGGAGTCATATTTGACCAAAGGCTGACGTGTAATCAACATCTCAAAAAAACACATATAAAGCTACAATAGCTCTTGTAAGCTGTAGAAGAATATGTAGGAAAAACTCGGGTCTAAACTCCAAAATGACCATATGGTTATACACAAGGGTAATAAGACCCATGATAACCTATGGCGCAGTGGCGAGGGTAACCAAAACTGCGCAGGCAAGTGCAATAGGCCAACTCACTAGCAATCAGCGGCTTGCCTGTCTAAGTGCTACTGGGGCCATGCGCACTACGCCGACTGCAGCAATGGAGGTATTATTAAATCTCACGCCACTGCACATCTTCATACAAGGAGAAACCAGGTCAGCTATTCACCGCTAATGCAGGGACAAAACCCATAAACCAACTACACAGCGCCGACCACACAAGGCTATATCAGCAAGTAAAAAGGGATAATCTTCTAGCTATGCCTACTGATAGAGCCATAACCACATACAAATTTGAAAGAAATTTTCAAATTCAAATACCAGCCCGAGAATCCTGGAAACAGGGACCTCCTACAGGCTGAACTCGTCTGGTACACAGACGGTTCAAAAACCATGGAGAGAGCCGGTGTTGGAATCAATGGACCCAAGTCGAAATCAACGATTTCGCTGAGTTTAGGAAAATATGCAACAGTGTTCCAGGCTGAGCTAATAGCCATACAACACTGTGCAAGAGAAATATTAAATCAGCAAGTATCAGGCAAAACTATTGCCATATACTCTGACGCAGCTCTAAAGGCAATTCTCTTACCAGAAATCAAATCACGACTGGTGAAAGACTGTCTAGAAGACCTGACAGAGCTAAGTAGTCAAAATAAGGTGACCCTAGCCTGAGTTCCAGGTCATGAGGGATATCAGGGCAACGAAAAGGCCGACGAATTAGCCCGAGAAGGCTCAGATAAGGCCATGACAGGCCCCGAATCCTTCTGTGGAGTTGCTAAGGCATTGTGCAAGGCATCCATTAAACAATGGATGCAAAAAGAGTCTCAGGAATGGTGGAACAACTATACAAGACTGAGACAGGCCAAACAGTTCATCAAGGAACCATCGGCCAAGTTCACGAAAGACCTACTGGATCAAAATCGTCAAATCGTTAGGATAACAGTAGGCCTTCTTACTGGACACTGCCGCCTCAAAAGGCACATGAGTGTCATAAATCCAGCAGAAGAAGCAACTTTGTGCAGGTTCTGTGAAGAAGAAGAGGAAACATCATTCCGCGTCCTGTGCCAATGTGAAGGCCTGGCTGGAATGAGGTTTCCAACATTGGGCGAAGAAATGCCAAATGCTTGCAACTACATGCGCGAGCCACTGTCAAAGCTACTAAGTCTAATAAAAAAGATCAGGCTAGATGACATACTCTAAAACAAACGGAGTCCCACAAGATCTGAAAAGGTCGCGGTGGACAACGGCAAATAACGTCCAACTCCTAATCTAATCTACTAAATCATTGTCCATTCCCAAACACAGAACTGCTCTTTTTAAATCCTCCTTCTCCTATTGCATATCACAGTATTATAACTCTCTACCTAATTTTATTAAATCATTATCATTGGTTAATTTAAAAAAAAAAAGTTAAAACATCTAATTCTGAGTGACGGTTTGCCTATCTAAACATGATGAATTTGATTTTGTACATGGAGTTGCGAATTTATTTGTCTAGGTATTTGTTTCAGCTTCTTTTTATGACTATTATCTAATTATTGCTTAGTTTTATATATTATATATTATTTTTTACTACTAAATTAGTTTATCGGTAAAAAAAATCATGTACTTAGTTTATCGCACCTAGTTAATGTATAACATAATTTATTCTGTTTTGTAGGTTAAGTGGAAGAATGCTCTTCTTCTGATTTTTTTTTTTTTAGATTGAAAAAATCGAACTTTGCCTGTTGCTCTACAGGATATCTTTTATTTCGTATCTTTAAAGTGATGTATTTTAATTGTTTGTAAAGGCCTGTATCAATAAAATCGTTATTATTATTTTAAGAATGCTGATTATTTCGGTTTGAGTAATTACTCTTTGCGCTTATCAATTATGAGTTATTTATTGTACAATGTGTAAGCTCTGTGGTGATCTATGCTAACATATGGTGCAATTGTCTAGATATCGAAAACCCAACAATTGACAGCTATCCGCAAACTAGAACAAATTCAAAGAACAGCATGTCTCAACATATAACAGGAGCCATGAAAACAACACCAACCAGAGCCATGGCAGTCATTCTTAGTCTCACTCCTCTTGATATTTACATCAAGGAGGTTGCTCTGAATACATTGACATGCATGACTCTGCACAGTAGCAAGATAACCTGGTGGGGCGAGACCCTGGACAGACCACGAATTTACTCAGGGTCAATAATAGAATGTCACGAATCTTTGGCCGAAGTATACTTTCAATAATGTGGTCAACTTAAGGTGGAATCAAAGGTCACGCCACCTCGAAAGGTAACTGTCTTGCTGATTTGCTATCCAAGAAGGCAGCTAACCAAATACTTTTTGGACATGGTCCTTCTTTTGAACTTACAGCATCGGTAGTGACAAACCTAATTAAAGAACATTCCCTTGTCCGGGAGCTTTTAAGTTATCCTGACAACACTACAGTAAACAAACACTTGACTATGACTAAACAGAATCTGCACCTGATCACAGGCATTCTAACTGGTCATTGCAAAGTACGAAAGCACCACCTTATCATGGGGCTGTCATAATCCGCACTCTGCAGGAGGCGCGAACAAGAAGATGAGACTATCAAGCATATCCTTTACAATTGCCCGACGCTCTTATTTATTAAAAGATTCGTGTTCGGCGAGAATTGGCTAACCGGCCAATAAAAGAGAGGCATGTTGTCAATTACATTAAATCTGGATGCTGGCGTCCTAGATAGGCGGTGCCTTTCTACTTAGGAGGATGCACACAATGGGCCTAGTGAGGTCTAAGTGCCGTGCTGATAATCTGGACTGCTGTTGAAAATCTTTATCAAATATTAAGAAATGCAATAAGCGGTTTTGTGCCTCTAGAATGAATGAATAGATCAAATTTTCCTATTTGACAAAAAAAATCGCAATCTAGATTTAAAAAATATGGGAACATTAATGATTACAATATCTCTATTAGGATCTGAATATAAGCGCCTCTCTAAACAGTGTTTTGCAAATTATATTTCTTGTGTTGACAATTCTATTAATGATAACACACAGTTTTTCTGGAATTATTACAAAAATTTGATGGGCGAATCCTTTTCACCAAATGTAATGTTTCTTATTGATATAGTTGGCAATACCATTCAAGGAAGCCTATAAAGAGTTGACAAGTGTTAATAAAGATGGCAACTAGTAATATATACATACCATACATACATACTAACCTATGATTATAGGTGGTTTCTTAAGAGAAAACCGAACATCTTGACAATTTATAGTTCATTCTGAGCCTTTATTTTTTATCCGATTTTTGTAAAATTTTCAGGAATACCAATAATAACAAAACTTAGGGTGGAGAAACCTTCAACTTTTTATAAACCTTCGAATTTATTTTAATTTTTTTTTTTAAAAGGATTTAAAAAAACATTTCCGCGCCGCAACCATGTTTTATTAAACTTACTGGATCTTGAATGTCTAGAATTTCGAAGTGGTACAGTAGATTTATTATTTTTGCATAAAATAATTTCAAGATCCATATTCATTGTTCCGAACTTTTAGAATCCAATAAATTTAGAGTACCAGTAGGATATATACTCGTCAAAATGATTTATTCTTCATTCCATTTGACAGAACTAATTATGGCTTATTTATTCCTCCAACAAGAATGCAGAGAAGTGCAAGTTCATTGAATTTGGATATTCTGGGTACGTCTTTTAATAGCTTTAGAAAAGCTGCAAGAAAGAGACTCTCTTGATATTTTGAATATTTTCAATAATTTCTAACGATTTTTATTGATATTTATTAAGAAAAAAAAATTACTTAATACTTTACATTTAACGGAGTGTTTTTAAATTGGAAGTTGCAAATCAATTTATAATCTTTTAAATGATTTTTGTATATTTTTGATTGAAATGGGGATTTACAGTTTGTTGTTCAATAAATAAATAACTAAATAAAAACTATTTTTTGGTCCGACGTTTCTTATGTATGCAGGTACAACCGCAACTTTTGTTTTCTTATTTCTTGCTTTAATTTAGTTAATTTTAACTGTGAATCCAAAAAAATGCGAGCAATAAAATTTTATATTTGGATAATTTTTTTAAATTTTCAGTTCTTCATGTTAACCCCTTTTACTCTAAAATCAGGGTAAGTACATTATAATTCTGATATAAGTATTTTATCCAATTTTTCCATTTCCTTTAAGGTTATTGCTCTTTTTCTGTCTTTTTACATTCATCTTGGTTTTTCATGGCCTAACATTTAAACAAAATATTATAAAAAGATGTTTATCTTAAAAACAAAAATAATAATACCACCTCTAGACAAATTTTTTTATTCGAAAAATATTTCATACTCCAATAAGTAGTACATTTTTCTATAACTATTTCCTCATGATTTATTATTCACAAAGAATTAAACCACAACAAAAAACTGTCAGATATGTGGGCAAAATAACTTAAAATGTGCAAAAAGTTAATATTTTTCACAAGTTTATTCAACCCTACTAAGATGAAAACTGCCAATAAAATCATACACTGAGTGCCAATCCTACTTTTAAATATTGGTTATTTCAAAACCTAAAGATGGGGTCTTGCACATACAAAACGTCAAATCAATTACGAAATCTTAATAGTTATTTAAAGTTTCACCACCCTGTATATATTGTAAATATTTAACAATTACCTCACATTCCGGAAGGACACTTTCAGAAGCTATAGGTTCTTCATCTTTAATACATAGTTTCTCATAAATTTTTAATATATTGTTGATTTTATTTACGTCTTCTTCAGGAGCACAAACCATTTCATATCTTTTGTAATCAATGTCATTGTTTTCCAACCTAAAAGGATATACACTTTATATTTAATCATAATTATTGACTACAGGAACTCTTATTAAAATGGTTGAGAGTTCAAGATTACTCCAATGAAAAACTGTATTTAACATGCAGTTACTTTTTTCATTTTGAGCATAGAATATAGGATTAGAATTGAATCGGTGAGTTCGAAAACCGTACATGTCCAAAATCAGCCTTCTGAGAAAAACAATTAAAACTTTTTAACATTGAAACTACTTGACAAAGACTATTTTCATGCAAAGAAAAGTTTTAGATCTCGTGGTTTCATGGAGATAGAAGGTATCTTATAACTCCATGCATGGTTTGCAATGTATTTTTAATGGTAGTTTTTCAGAAAATAAAATGGACTACCAATGACAGATACAAATGGATGGACTTGTACGGTTTTTGAACTCAATCCTGTATATAAAAAGAAACAGGTTTTTTTTTATTTATTTAATATTTATTCAAAAAGGAGACAAAATACAATATCAAAACTGTTATCTGTCATATAATCATCATTTTCAGCATTTGTGGTTTTTCAACTGACTTATGGATGAGATTACAGAAGCTCTGCAAATCGTACTTGCATCTATCAGTTGCGCTAGCAAAAGAGAAACATGGTATTACAGAAACGTGTTTTCACTTTTTGCGTCTAAAAATCATCTGTAACTTTGCAGGAGGTTGGTAGATTTGCAGATGCTTCTTTATGGAATACAAAAAATTGATACTTGCATCTGTAAGTCCATCATATCTGCAAAGTTGCAGGCTTGCTTTTTCTGTAATCTCACCTTATAGCAATTGATCATTATTTTGTTGTGGAGAGTCACGGACATGTACGGTTTTTCTCCTCATTTCACGGGTGCAATCAGCTGTGCTACGTTAACGGCTAGGTATATTGTACGGTTTTAAGCTGAATCGATGAGGAGACAAATTTTAAACAAAATGGCTATCTTACTTAATTTTGGACTTGTACATTTGTACATAGAGAGGAGGTAATTCTCAGGTTTATTATTAGTTAAGTGTAGGAATAAGTTAAAAATTATTATATTCAGTTAACCAAATTAAAAAAATAGTCTTGAGTTATTAGTTAATTATATTATCAGTTTTTTCCTTAAGAGCAAAAGTATTATGACTTAGAATAATCTCAGAACTAAATACATAAGTGTAGCTTATTAATTAGTAGGTAACACAAATGTAGATTTTAAAAAGTTTAAATACTGAACTTACTTTTCTAACATATTTTTTGATGCTTTCCTTTTGGCATCCTTTTTAGTTGAAGCAACCCCCTCTGTGGTCATGTCAAGATATTGACATTCGACTACAAACAATCCATTTTGAGGTAATTTATCACAATATACTGGATTGGGAACTTGGCTTTGAGAAGCCTGTTCGTGTAACTGTCCTATATAATTATGAGTTATATTGTTAGAACGCTCAATTAAAGTTGGAGGAATAACATTTTTAAAATTGCTTGCTGATCCAACACCAAGTTTCAGAAGAGCTTCTTGTGCACAGTTACTCTTAGCCTCTTTCTTTGTATTTGCATAACCATAAGCGGTTATGTTTTCAATAACTACTCCATATTTAAAGGGATAAGTCGAATCTGAAGGCAGTTCTTGGTATTTAGGTAGATCTTTCTTTTGCTGGGCAAATATCTCTTGAAGCAAGGAAATAGGATTTTTTGAGCATGCCATGTTAAATAACTCTGAAAATTAAGAACGAAATTAAATAATTTTTTAATGATTTTAATGAAAACATAAATGAAAGTCCAAAATTCTACAGGAGACTATCAATATAATTTTGATACTGAATAAAATGTTTAATTTTTTTATAATTAGATTTTTTTATTTCTTAAAAGATATTAAAAAACAAAATATTGAATTGAATAAAATTAGTTGGAAATTGTATGTGTAGTTTAATGTATAAAAGCTAATATAGAGGAGGTTTGTAGTATACCTATAATAGATAATATATTCTTAAAATATAATAATTTTGTTAATAAACATGCAATTGGTAGTGCAGCACATTACCATTAAAACGTTCAAATATTTAGTGATGGGATAAGTTGAATGAACAATAATAATTGGTCATTCGATTATTAAAATGTTTCGAGACATCTCGAGACGTTGAACTGGATCATTCATATGATCATATCATTCAAATACACTAACGAGTGAAATGGAATTTTCAAATTATTTTAACTGAATTTCGAATGATCAGATTATTCCACTACACTACCAAGTGAAACAGAATTTCAAATGATCATATCATTCACTACAGAGTCCTAAGTGGAATTGAATTTTCGAATGACCAGATCATTCAAGTACATACACTAACCAGTACCGAGTGAAACGGAATGAGAATAATAAAAATAAAATGCTTTGAATGAATTTGATTCTTCTTTAAAGTGATTTGAGTGTTTCAAACACAACTATTGAAAATGTTGGATGGATACATTTTAAATGTTGATTTAGGTAGGTAGGTATTACCAGACTTGTTTTTATAAGTGTCCTTCACTGTTTTCTATTTTATTAAAATTTTCTTAGGTAATGGATTTTTTCGGTCCAGACCTCATTTTTTTTTTTTTTCAAACGACAGCAACAACAAAAAAGGAAAGGATGGAAAATAAGTTCATTATATTAATATTCATAGATATTGGCATAAAATTTCCTAGTATCCGAGTGATAAATCATTTGAATTATAATCCGATTATTGAAATCACTTGAATTCTTGTCATTCGATTATTATAGTAATAATTTGATTGTACCAATGATATGTATGTATGATAAGCGTAATTACATTTTGGTGTTGTTTTTCTATCAAAGGACTTTAGGCCTGAAATTTCATGTACTAATTATCCTTGTTAATCCCATTACCCACCTTTAACGTAAATTTATTAGGTATGACGGTAATCTTTGGTATAACCATAATATGAAAAAATAGAAAAATTCTCAGTACTTCCGAGATCTAAATTTAACTTTAAAAAAGAAGATAAAACTATTCAATTAATTTTAAAAGTATTTTTTTTAACATGTAATTTTTACACAATCATAACTCACTTTAGAAAAATCAGTGCTTTCAAAATAGAGAATTGAATAAATTCCTAAATAGTCCAAAATCTAAATAGGTAAGTACATATTATTTAAAGAAATAGTACAAATATGGAACAAGGATATAACTATAAATAAATCACACCCTATAAAAAGAAAACAAATTCACAATTTAAATAAAAAAATACTTATGCCAGTTTTGTACACCACAGATTTATACATGTACACCTAAGTATGTGTGCACGCACAGGCATATTACATGCATAAAAAGGAACATTTGGGGAATCACACGTAATTATTACATAAATTAAGTCACCTATTAACAAGTACAAAAAACAATTTAATATAAATGCTAAATAACTAATAAAATATTATAACAAGACATACCTGTCTTTATGGTTGGTTATCAGTATCACCAGAAGTATCACTAGAACAGAACAGAAGTAAAAGTTGGAAATGCTTTTGCCAGTTCTCCCACTTTATACACATAAATTGACAGGTTGTCAGCGGATCTCACCAGTGTTGCCAGATGAAAAAAAAAAAAAATATATGGTATCCGATACTTAAAAATATGGTATTTTACTGACAAAAAATGGTATCCAGAATAATCTTGATAACACCAAATAATGAAGTTTTACACAAATTATGAACAAATAAAAATGAAAAATTAGTATAAAATTTTTATTTTAAACTATGATTTAATTAACAAAGTAATATTAAGAGCGGAAGAACAGAGAACAGACGGTAGGATCATTATGATCTTGCTGAACTCAGCAAATTGGCCATTTACTCAGTACCCTTTGTATTAATAAAATTGTATTTATAAATCTTGTAGGACCGATTCCACCGGCAATGATACATCCAGCACTCACTTTGGTTATGGGACTAAAAAGAGCCAATAACAACGTGCGAACACCAAATTATAGGCGGGACATAAAAGCGCGCTAGTTTTGAAAGTAACGCCGTGAATAGCAGTACATCGGATATACACGAATTATTTGTACATCGGATGTATCCTCCATTATTTGTACATCCTAATTCTAACATAACTTTATTTCAGAAGATGGAGTTGAAGACTTAAGTATTTTTCTGTAGTATTTTATAAACCTTAGAAGCAAATTTCACATGCATGAACTAATAATAATAATGCCGTGACAACAAGAAGACGAAGCAACGACTTCTCGTAGGGTGGCGGCTTCGCCGCCACCAAAAATTTTCAATCCATACCTGGCTACGACGACCGGCATAAACACCAACGGCCTGGACACAGCTCACCTACGAGTACTCTGTCAAAAGGAGACCGATGTACAAATAAAGCGCGTACATCCGATGTACTGCTAGTCACTGTGATAAAATAAAAGAATAATATTTTAAACCAAAACACATATATATCTAAAGTTGAGGTTAGAAGACTTGTTTCCATCATCACCATTTTTCGCAGCATTAAGCTCCGCCCCTTAAAGCTGTCACTTCTGTTCATTCCGATTGGTTAAATTGGCACTCGTAACGGAACTGTGTGCTGAATGTAGTTTTGCATTCCGCCGTTGTGTCAAACGAAGTTTAAAATGACATTTTTACATGGGTCCTATGATTGAACGTTTATGTTATCCGTAACGTACATGTTAGGCCGAGTTTTAACAGTAATGAGGCAAGTTCGTATGATGGAAAACTTTTTCCAACACGTTACTGTTATTTTCCGCCTGTTATCTTCTAATTTAACAGTTTTCCATCATCCGAACTTGCCTCGTTACTTTTAAAATTCGGCCTAACATGTACGTTACGGATAACGTAAACGTTCAATCATAGGACCCATAACTATGTCATTTTAATCTTCGTTTAACACAACGGTGAAATTGGCACTTAGTAATTTATAACTATAACCTATAGTAACATATACAATGAGGACGTATAGGTTGGAATAAATTCGATATTTTTCTGTCTAACAGTATTTTAACAAAATGCTTTCACTGGTCAATTTTTATTTTCAACTAGACGTATTTCGCTACGTCATCGATTTTTTTTTTAAATAGACCATATATTTTTATTTTCATTATTGAATTCTCCGATTATACCTAAATACATTTTTGTAATCGTCTATTATTGGGCGTGTTTTAGTAGAGATGTGAGACCATTCTTGTTACTTGTTAGTAGAGTAGAGATGTGCAGAGTGCTATGTTTTACTCATATTATTATAATGAATGATATAAAAATCTAAAAGTTAAAAATATGGTAGTAAAATGGTATCAGTAGCCAAAAAATGGTAAAAAATGGAAAATGGTATCTTTAAAAATTTGCAGGTATCGGAGTAGAAAAAATGGTATAAATACCATAAATATGGTATATCTGGCAACACTGGATCTCACCGAAGTGGACACGATACATTGGCGTACAAAATTATTTTATAGATGTTAATAACAATTTCGAGTAAATAGTTTAATAAATTGTGAATAGCTGTTGAAATTTTGTAAAATTATAATTTGAATATTATAATACATGTTTAATAATTATTTATAATCCATAAATACATGCTATTGTCCGGTTCCGCCGATAAAAATTTAAAATTACTTATTCTATGAAACGACACTGGCAGGTAAACATTACTGTGAAATTCTTGGAGCCGCCCGACGTGGTTTGACGTTTACCCCCTCTCTACCTACAAAGCTTATAAAAAAAGAACGGATGATTGATTCACAGAACACGAGTGATTATAATAGCTTTGTTTTGGTTCACTTTCGTAACTGTTCTAGAACTCTTCCAGAACCTTTGGAGCATGTGCAGTAGATATTTGATGTTTTGGTTTCGCTAGAACTGTTCCGAACCTGCAAGTTCTGTGTTTTGGTTTTTCTTGGGAATGGTTCCATAACCATTCTCGAACAGTAACGTCGGTTCTGGCCTAAAGCGAGAACTGTTTCAGAATCGATATGTTTGCGCATGCGCTTTTTTGCAAATAGATTTGTTTTTGAGATTCTGGCCATGTTTTGTGTTGGAATTTTTACAAGGAATTTTAAAATGTACTAATGAGAATGGAGTAGTTGATGTTGGGTCATAAGATTGTTACGAATAAATTATTTAATTTATCTACGTTTTATAATATTATGTGGCCTCTTTCTTGCGTATACACTGACCCTGTGTTATTTCTTCTTACTTATTTATAATATACTTTTTGACATTTTACTGTTCTGGCAGTGTTTTGGTTTCGAATGCAATGGAATGGTTACAGAACTGTTCAGAATTAAGGACCATTGCGCAATAGTTCTGCGCATGGTTCTGGAACAATTCTAGAATGTACCAAAACAAACCTATATTTTGTCACTATAGGTTGGGCTCGGCTCGTCTTCTTAATTATTAGGTTTGTTCTGATTCTCAAAATAAAAACGGTTTTGAAACTGCGCCGGACCGTGTACGTAAGGGCAAAAAAACCTCGACTATTTGAAATTGTTGGAAAAGAACCAGAGACACCAGAACACATGTATTTATAAACAAAACTTAGCTTTATTTTTCTATGCTCAGCTGAGTTGGGCCCGTATTCCGTATTTATAAACAAAACTTAGTTGTTGAGACGGACTTGGGTAATAGAGGTTCCACGTGAATGACCAAGGTCAAAACCGACAACTGACATTTTTTATGCTATTTGCTCCAAACTC